ACAATAAACCAAAAATAATCGAAAATAATAATTTTCTTGTTCTTCACCTAAAACTCCTTTCGTCTTCTTAATGTTTTTCCATTTATTTTCCTCTTTTACTGATCCTATCCGTCTGTCTTTATTCTACCGGTTGAATTTCGTTATTTTTTTCGCTGTTTAATGTATACATCTTTCCGATTGCTTTCCGATACAAATTATTAACACACCGGCAATAAGAAAATTCAGGATAGGATGAGTGTAAAAAAACCATAAATAAATCTAAAAAAAAATGTTAAACAATCTGCAGAAAAAAAAGCGTAACACAACAAAAGAAATTGAAACAACTTGAAGATTTGATAACCGCTGAAAGTTTCTGTTACATCTTTTACTACCCCTTTTTACGACCGTATTGTGTATATAATAGGTAGGTGATGTGATGGCAACAAATTTTGCATATCGAGTTTTCGGTGGAGAGGCACTTCTCCATGGCAGGGAAGTGTAAATAAACTAATTTTAGCAAAGTGTCGGCCTGTCGTTCTGTGTGTGCACGCGTGTATCTCAAGTTCGGCTGATCTGATTTTAGCATTTCATGGAATTCTAATGGCACAAAGCGAAACTCTACTAAGAGCAAAATCTACATTTTTCTTGGTATGTTAAGTATAAGCTTACTAATGTCTTAAAAATTGGAAAGAAGTATTTAATAGACATTTTTATAATATTCTTTAACACTTTCACATAACTAGGCAATACACATTGCGGTCGGTTATGTGCTGATCACATCAGATTTTTTTCCTTGTATAACCGATGCTCATGTACATATAATGTTTGTACGTATGAATATCCTAGATTGATTTAAGAATGTAAAACATTGTTTTTTCCTAAAGTTTAACTGTTTATCATAACATCTTTGTGTGCGAATATAATTTATAAAGCAAAACAAGTGCAACATTAGATTTTATACATACATATATAATGTACGTAATTTATACATATTATATGTACGTAAATGTATTGTATAAAATGAAAATATAAGTATATACATATGTATATTATGAACCATTCATATACGAGTATGTATAAGAAGGATTCAAGCAATATCCGTTCATCTTATGAACTAAAACTTAGAGATACGAGTATGTGTAGACATGGAATAGTCGGGTAATGTTTAAACTAATCAAAAAAAAAAAAAAAAAAAAAATAGCCCGTCATCGTAAAATGTCATTTCTGGCTACGGTGATACTCTTGGTGAAATGGGATCATAAATTATGAAACCATTAGGCATTATTTCATGCTCCGCTTATACTGTAACCTTTTTGCCGTTATAAAATGAACTTTTTGTTTATAATCTTTGATAACTTAATTAGAGTTACCTGTCATCTTTCGGTATATTATATACATATGTATATATATGTTCATACATATGTATGAACATACATATGTATATATATGTTCATACATATGTATGAACAAACATTGTGTAATTAAGTTTTAAAGTATATTTAAGTGTTCATTAAAAAAATTTATAAAAATTAGAATAGCATGTTATTTGCAAAAAAGGAATGCCCGTAAGTATAAAACGCTACGTATGCATACTACGCCGAAACCATGTTCAGGTATGTAGATATTATGTCTTTTTCTGGACGTTTAAATTCTTTGTTTGTTTTTCAGCTACCCTTTTACATCTTTTTTAGCATTTTTTCAAAAAAATTTAAAAAAAGTGTTTATTAGTTTCAGTCTATCCGTTCGTCCATCCGTGGACATGTTTACATAACTTTTACACGGTGGAAGATATGAAGCTAAAAATATCACAAGTACATAGATCCCTTTTAGGAACCTATCTCTTTAAAATTATAGCCCCTCAAACTCCTAAAAATGCCATTTTTCAAAATTTTATTACAGGGAAACTACGAGTACAAACATTTTTCAAATTTTGCAATTGTTGTAAAATAAAGGCATGATTCTTCTATCGGGGCATATCACACTTGAACTTAAAAAAAAAGTGTAACAAAAATATTCACACAAAAATTATTACATTTCCTCTCAATTCAAGAAGTACTTTTAAGTACATATCTACCTAATAAATTAAGAAATGAAATACATTACTCGCTTGAGGAGTTGATAAAAGTATTGGTGATTCATTGGTATAATGGGAAATAAGAATAAAAATGTACAAGTAGATATTTTTAAAGGAAATGCGGAAGAATTTTTTGCACCAATAACATAAGTCAAAAAATTCAAATCAAATTAAACTTAGGTTGAAAATTAGTTACAAATTTTATATTTTATAAGTTTTATTTTAAACAATACCTAAATACGTGATGATACCTTTTGCTATTTACCTTAATGAGCGCAATACGGAAGTGCATATTATCTAGTTGGTTTTGGGGTCGCCTTACAATAAGTTTTACTGTTAGTACTATTATCTTTTCATGCAACGACCAAAAACTTATTAAAACCGCTCTTAAGCATGCAAGACCTTTAAATGTGTAAATTTTTTGACTGTGTCATAAATTAACTTAGAAACTTTATAAATACTGAAGTGCACATTATAATATTATCGTTCAATTTATATGAATGAAATTATCCAATAAAATGAATTTACTTATTTAATGGTTATTCTTTAATACCACGGTACTTTTTCTTTGAAAAAAGTAAACGTATCATTGACTAGGTCTCTTCTAGATGTTGTTCTAACAGCATATTGCGCTCATTAAGGTAAATAGTGAAAGGTATCATCACGTATTTAGGTATTGTTCAAAATAAAACTTAAACTGTAATAAAATATAAAATTTGTAACTAATTTTCAATCTAAGTTCAACTTGATTTGAATTTTTTGATTTATATTATTAGTGCAAAAAATTGCTAATTTTGCTTTTTGAGAACTGCCTCATATAAAACTACACAATAATTAAAATTCACTATATAATAAATAACTTTATTTTAAAACACGTTTTTATTTTTACATGAATTAGCATTGGAACCACACATACAGATCACACTGTAAAACTGAAAAAATTTCAAATTAACATTTTAACAATGTTTATTAATGCTTGAGTATGTCGGTAAGCCTACAAAGAAATAAAAAAAAAAATTCAATATAAGTATGCAGGTATAATAGTATATGAAATATTGAAATATAGGTGCTAAAAATATGGGTTAAAGAAATCATTCACACTTATACGTAACATATGAATTTTAATTTATAGCTAAGGGTTAATATATGTTTTATGATAGGGGGTTATTGAATTACATATATACAAAATACGTAATAACACCAAAATAAATCACATCACAACAATAATCAAAAATATCAGCATCAGCTTAATATAAAAGAAGTACTAAAAATATGAGTGTGCATACATTACGGTATAATAAATATACATATATCAGATCCTTCAAAAGCCGTTTTCATTTCATTTTCGTTTTAATATAAATTTCGAATACGAATTATAAAAAAAATATGTCTATGTTCTACAGTGTTAAAAACATATTTCTTTACATATTTTATATATATATATATATATATATATATATATATATATATATATGTGTGTATATATCTACTGTAATTTTTTGACAAAAAGGTTGATATTATTGTATACAAAAACAACCATAATTTTTTGTGCTTCTGTTTATTATAAAAACTGTAACTGGAGGGAATAAAAATAAAAGTATTTCTATTCCCTATAAATAGAATATAAGTGAAAGGTGGTACAATATAATAGCTGCAAAGGCAAGTTTAGGTACTTAAATTAAGGTATTATATACAACTGTAAACTGTATAACATTTATATGGCAGTAAACCATTTTCCTAAAGGGTATAATAGCATATAGGTATAACGTTTGTTATTAAAGATGATGAACCTTTTTTTTAATTTTATGTTACTTTTATAAAGGTAGGTAATAATAAATATGAAATATTCCAGGTAAATTCAGGTAGGTATAACAAAAGAGAAATACCAATTTATACAAATAATTAGGTTGTTGTGTGTATGTACAGAAACTATGCCATATTATACAGCTGACAAGAATAATTGTAAAAAGGTTGACATACTGGTTGCTTTCTGCTGTTATTTTTGCTTGATCTTTTATCCTTATACTTTTCATTTCTATTTTCATGAAGAGATTAAAATATAAACTTTCAAGTAATTTTTGTATTGAATAGAATCATACCTTTCAAAACAACATTCAAATGCATAATTATTAATTTTCTACAAAAAAAATCAGTTATTGTGATACAAACTGTTTATTGTTTTATTCTTAAAAGGAAAATGAATATTTTGTTGAGAATTAATTTAATTTTTGAAAAGTAAATGGTTAAATTTTTTGTTGCTAACAAGAACGTTATGAATATGTTATATAATATAAATATATTGCTAGAAATGAAAAATATAAGATCACGTTTTGAATGCATGTAAGATTGAATAAAAATAGCCGTCGCTACATGCAACAATTCACGTACCTACATATATTTCTTTTTCAAAATCGGAACGGCAGCTAATAATACATACATATAAGCAGATTTAAATCAAGCAAACCTATGTTTATTTTATCAAAATATATTGTGGCATTTTTTTTCCTGTTTCTCACTGTAAATAATAATTACTCTCCCCCCCCGTTATTACACCATGCTTTTTCTGCCTTCTCATGTTGTGGAATTACAGCATTCTAGGTTTAACATATAATTGTGTCTTAAATAAAAGATAATGCGGAAGTATGTATAATTTCAATCTTAATGACTTTCTAAAGTTACAATTGTTACAATAATAATTAAAATTTGTTTGAGAATGTAAACATATACGTAAAAAATTTTTAAGAATATATGTGCAATAGTACCTGTGAAATGTAAAATTATCGGTAAATTTGCAGCCCTAAAATTTTTACCTACTAAATTCAAATAAATAGAGCGGGATATCGTTATATGTTGTTAGTTGACAATAGAAATTAAAAGAAGGAACTCACTTTCAAGTGTATCTACATTAAACAAAATTTGTGAATAGTTTTAAAACAAATTTTTTATCATGAGCCCATTTCGCAAAGTAAACGGCCCAGAAAATACTTTGTTAAGGGTTAAAAACCCAACACAGTTATGTGACGAAAGTGAACTATTTGACTGGTTAAATTTATCAACTGAAAGTGATTCTGATTTAAGTTTTGACATTTCATCAACGGACAGCTCATTAACTAGTGTCACAATTTCTGATTCTAATTCATCAGATAATTTGGACTTAAATAGTAATTGGGATTCCTCAAAAATTAAGAAGAAACGAAAGGTAAGATTTAATCTAATTCCTCAAATACGCATACTTCGAACGTGGTTGTTGGCTCACAAACTTGCAAGACAAAGTAATTGGGAATCTGCAATTGATGCCAGAAATAAATTCAAAAGAAGAATTGAGCACACCGGTAAAGTTATATCTGTTGTTTTAAGCAGTCTCCATCGCACTAGAGTATACAAAGAAAGATTTTCTACGAAAAAATTCGGTGTTAAATTAAATGACACATGTGAAATGGGAATGTTGGAGCAAGATTTTAGAAGTATAAGGATATAAAAATTATATTAACATTTTTGTTCTACTTAACGTAAGAGTATAATATTTGTTATTTAAAATGTAAATAGTTTTTAAATTGGCCGTTGATAAATATTATGTATAGAAACTTGGTTCCTTGTTTTTAAAACTAATTCTGAACTAAGAGAATTCCATAATGAGTATTATTTTATAAAGCAAGTCAATTACTAATAAACAAGTAAAAACGTTTCAGTCGTTATAAATCGACCGAATTATACCCTGCACGTTAGTAATCTGAGTTTTACATTTGTTTTTAAAAAAGCTCTCATTGTGAATCCAGCGAATATTTCCTTCACGAAGTGCAGGGTATAAAAAACGAACGTGGTTGTTGGCTCACAAACTTGCAAGACAAAGTATTTAGGAATCTACAATAGATGCCAGAAATAAATTCAAAATTTTCTTTTCTTGCTCCCATAATTTTAATTTTATTTTAAAAAGCGCAAATAATGTATTACAGCTGACAACAATAATTAAAAAAGGTTGACATTTTGGTTGCTTTCTGCTGTTATGTTATTTTTGCTTGATCTTTTATCTTTATACTTTTCATGAAGAGATTAAAATACTAGTATAAACTGTCAAGTAATTTTTGTGTTGAATAGTATCATTTTACCTTTTAAAACAACATTCAAATGCATAATTATTAATTTTCTACAAAAAAATCTGCTATGGTGATATATTGTTTATTGTTTTATTTTTAATAGGAAAATTAATGTTTTGTAGAGACTTGTTCTGTATTTATTATTTTTTTTAATTCCAAGTCATATTCAAAAAATTTTCGTTATATAATTATTATATTAATTTATCTTATCTGAGCATTGGTGCAGTGGTTATGGCACCGGCCCTTTAACCGAGGGGTCTCGGGTTCAAACCCTGGTCAGGTCACTATAAAAATTATATTCAATATTACTTAATATGCAATACTAATAAATATTATACAAGTAATTTTCAAATATTCATAATATTCGATACTAAAGACTAAGAAAAATAAACAGTAAATATTAATAAACTGAAATGTTTAATATAAATAAAAACTACGGTAGGCTAGTCACCTACCTAGCTAACTCTCTATGACTATAGAAACTAGGACATGATAGATATCATGCACTAGTCCTATTCTCCTCCAAGGAGTGAAGAAGGAAAAAAAAAATTATTTATCTTAAAAATTTCAGAATTTTTGTTGTATAAATATTTATTTGGCTATAGTTAAAAAATCAAACAACTTTTCCAGTTTTAGATGAAATCAATAAAAATTTTGTTGAGCAGGTTTCAACAAAAGGTAGTCTTATAACGAGTTTAAAAATTAGAAGTTTTTATTTGGTTTTATAAAAGTGTTAAAGTGTAAGTTTTTCCTAAAACTTGGCATAGACGACAAATTTAAACATACTTGTACATTATATATTATTAGGCAACCAAAAGCGATCTTGAAATTTCTTGCATTTAAACGACCGCAGTTTAAAATCTAAAAATGAATGCTTAATTTGTATTTATTTTTTATACCCTGAACTTCGTGAAGCTTACAGGTTCGAGTGGCTCCCATACAAGTCCAAAAGCTTATTTTAAATATTTGGAAAAATAATAAAGTCAGATTCATGAAACTTGGCAGTTATGTGTCCAGTTATAGGTCAGACATATCCGTGAAGTTTTTATGGTTTCACTGAAGTAAAAACACAAGTAACAACGTTCCGACTGAAACGTTTTTACTTGTTTTAATTAGTTTAGAAACAGGCAATGCAATCTTTGTGTGTGTGGTTTTTAAGAATTTCGCTTTACAATGTCACTGTTGTTAGTTATAGTCACTTTTGTCTTTATGTAAGTATTAAAGTATTAATAAAATAAATATCTATATTAAATTAACAAATTTTTCGTTTGAATGCTCACAACATTGTAGGTATGTACGAGTATATCATATTATAAAATTGTACGCGGATTTGTTGCAGAACTTTTTATACCCTGCACTTCGTGAAGGGTATATTAACTTTGGTATGGAGTTTGTAACTACTTGAAAGAGTCATCTGCGGTATGGACATATACATATATATATTCTTGCTCAGCGTAAAATTCTGCGTTGATTTAGACATATCCGACCGTCCGTCCGTCCGATCGCACGAAAACTCAAAAACGAATAATGAAATCGACACCACACTTTCACAAGTTTTTTCTTTTGTGCCAAGGACGAACCCTATTGTTATTGAACTAATTCGGACAATGGGTTCGGGTAGATCCCATACAACTCATAGAGTTTATTTTAAATATTTCAAAACCTAATAAAGGTACAAATATAAAATTTTGTACACATGTTTTCAATTATATTCTACATATGCTCTAAAAATTTTAATGGGATAGCTGCACCGGTTCGAATGGCTGCCATACAACTCCAAAAGCAAATTTTTTATATTCGGCAAAATAATAAAGTCAGATTCATGAAACTTGGCAGTCATGTGTCCAATTATAGGTCAGATATATTTCTGAAGTTTTAGTGGAATTGCTTGACAGGTTCGGGTACCTGCCATACAACTCCAAAAGCTAATTTAAAATATTTTTCGTGTTGTGTTTATTTTCTCATAAGTTTAATAAATCTGTTATGCCGCGCAGAGGCGATAAAATTCGTTTCTGTATAATTTATTCTTAATATTGTTGTTTTAATTTCATATTTACATTTACCTTAAAATCAGCAAAGAAATTTTTTTTTTTTTTTTTTTTTTTTATTTTATTTATTTTAGTATCAATTCACAAATATACATATAAAATCTTAAGATTAATGCAATACAACTATTTATTTTATAACTATGTATGCAAATTGATGATAAACTATACAGTAGTGTAAATAAACACTAGTGATGTATAGTATTATGCACCGATACTACCACATATTACTTATTATTAATACAAATTTTGTGGGGTGGGATATATTTCTTGTTTTTTAAAATTACATTTACATTTATTTACTTAAAATAAATATTAATTGTTTTTTTTATTTGAATTTAATTAATTTACTATTTTAAACTTTTCTAATTGTGCAAGTACAAAAAGGGTAAACCGAGCAACATATATAATCTAGTATTATTTTAGACACCTTATTTTTATAAAACTCTTTATAACTACAATTGAAATATTTTTTTGTTATGTAATCTTTGAAAATTTCGATACCTTCTTTATTATCAATTCTTGAAATATGCATATCAATAACGAACTTTGGTATTTGTAACATAGAGGGATTTATCTTATTATAAATGTCTGACCAAATTACCCATTTAAAGTCATTTATTTCATTTATAGTAAATTCTTCTTTATAGTTAAAAGAAACTGTATTATAGCTTCTATTCACGAAACACTGTGAAGGAACATCTACCGATTTTAGCATAGTTAATTGTAAATCATCTGCATTGATAAGTAGATTTAACAATTCGCAGCACGATTTTATACGGAAGAGAGAGGTACAAAAAACTAGTATTTTTTCGGGATCCATGTCAGGGCGTACATTTATTACAGATCTACCATGAATATATATTGACTTTATGTAATTCTTATCGTAAACCACAGTAACATCACCAGAACAATTTGGGGAATATTTGTTAAAATTCTCCAAGACATTCAATTCTAAAAGATAAAAAAAAAATATACGTTCAATTATTCATTTCAACTAAAAAAAAAAAAAAAAATACATATAATTCTTGCATGAATCATCATTGCACATATGAAATAAAGTAGATAATACTTTAAAAAGAATTTTTTTGTCGATCGTATTGTGTAAACAATAGGTATGTCGTGGCAACAAATTTTTGCATATCGAGTATTCGGTGGGAATGCACTTTTCCATGGTAGGAAAGTATATAACCTACTTTTAGCAACTTGTCGGACTGTCGGTCTGCGTGTGAACGCGCGTATCCCAAGTTCGACCGTACCGATTTTGATGAAATTTTATATGTAAATTATTTTCGACCATGTAACGGATTGATCAACTTTTGGGATAAATCAGGCCTCGGGAACAGCACTTTTTAGCAGGCCTGCTTCAGCTTTTTGACCATTTTGAAGAAAACATTCAATCCATTTACTTGAAATTTCATATATAAGTTTCGCGTGGCCGTCCGCGAAATCTCCTGACTTTTGGAAGAAATCAGGCATCAGCAACTGGACGTTTACTATGGGCCTTATATAAATTTTTCGTATATAAAGAGAAATAATCAATCAATTTCATTAAAATTCAATATTTAAATTTTTCGTATTAAAACAATGAACATATAATTCTTTGGAAAGATCAGGGCTCGAAAACTCATCTGCGGACCGATTTTACATTTTTCACGAATGAATTGATGGAATTTTCTAGGTATATTAACTATAAGCTTACTAATGTCCTAAGAATTGGAAAGAAGTATTTAACAACCATTTTTATAATATACTTTAAATATTTTACAATATACTTTAAATACACTTTTACTTAACTAGACAAAACATATTGCGGTCGGTTATGTGCTGACCACATTTTCTGTTTGATTTTACTCGTAAAATTAAGTTGACAAAAAAGTTTTTATGCACATACATATATTAAGTCACAATAGAAAAAATAATGTATATGTAAATGTGTATATATGTATGTATATAATATTTGGGGTTCAATTCCCTTACAACCGCGGTGATCGACACATTCGACATACTGTAAATTAAACAAAAAATACGGTCTAGGTTTACATTTTTGCGCATATAAAGATAAAAAATCACCCAATTTCCGTAAAATTTAAGGTTTACATTCGTTAACACCGTGAACTTATAAATTTTTTGGAAATGTCAGCGCTCGGGGACCGAACCAAGGGATTTTTTATCATATCTATTTTCTGTCTATATATACAAGGCATTTTCGTAGTTTCATGCAACATTTTAGCTAAACTAGGTAATATTTTGCGGTCATTTGTTCGTATCAGATTATTTTTTTATGTAAATCAACATATTGCTTGCAAAAAATATTATACCTTATTATGTTAGTTAAT